TTTACTGCTAGTAATGTATTGCAAAAAAGTATTTCTGGTATTAAAACCTATTTTTATACTCTCATAGTTCTCTGACCCCAGTTTGGGTGGGGGTGTCAACAATTTGCCCATAGCTGGGACCATAACAGATGCTACCACTCCGGGTCAGGGTGGATCTTGGAACATCTGTAATTAAGAAGTGTTTCCACCCTCCTCAAAACCTCCTGAACAGAGACCTTGCTCTCGGATGTAGTTTATCGTCTTACCCAGGACGCGGATGAAGTCTATCGTCCTAACCTGTACAATGAAGTAAAAAGACAAGACGGATAAGAACACATCTGAAAGAATTAACGCATCTTCTAGTCTCTTTACCAAGCCTAGAATAGAAATAAATACGTTATTAAATAAAAAAGAGGCTTGACAGCAAAGCTTTAGCAGCAGTAAAAAAAGAGAAATTTCTTTGAATACATTCAAGCGGCAACTTAAAGTTCTGTATTCAGGATTGCACCACAGCATTCTCGTTAGTTTGTAAATATTGTGAAATAGCTTAATCTCTAAAATTAGACTCAATGGAAAATAAGGCGAAGAATAACTGAACAGCGCCAAATAAGACCGAAATATCCCAAGACGTTCAGTTCAGTTCGAAATTCATGAACGTTAATCGGATCGATAGGCTGGAGAATACAATGGCCTAAACGTTGGGTTTGTAGAGGTTAAGACTGTAGTGATCGAGAAAACACCCCCTTGGGAGTCAGCTCTACAGAGCAGTGGTTCGAAGCTGCTCGAGTGGAACTTACATCTCACCAATGGAATACGAAGGGAATGAAGGGGGTTCGCTGCAATATGCGTAGCATGACGGGTATCAGCTGTTAGAACTGGTGGAACTAAGGAATGTTGTTCGTCTGATCACTTTCCATGGAAATAGTGATAGAACAGCGAGAGGTTTGCAACGTTTAGTGGGGGGCTACAGGTTCGAAAATATGTCACCCACAATGACATGGAGATGCTTTTTGATTCTATCGAAACTGGAAAATAAAAACAGGGCAGCTGCTGACCATATATGGCAACAGTACTCCATTTTCGGCCTGATTTTGGCACTTGTGAAAGCAAAGGATACCAGGATGAATCGAGTATTTACTGGAGCGGTACTGGGAACTGACCATTTTTCCAGCATCTTTAATGATGAGATCTTGGTTTAGTTTAAGCCCAATAGCCACTCAAGACACGGTGCCACCTGAGGGAATATCCGTTCATCATGATTGGTGATAGATCTTTCTTTGCTTGCATTATTTACATTATTCGGACTGTTATCCTCATCTTCATTGCCATATTCACAGCGTTTCGGCCGTTGTACGCCCCGGTCGTCCTCCGGAACTGTCTATATCTCTGAGACGAGGTATTATGATTATTTGCATTATTTACAATATTCGAACTGTTAAACTCATCTTCATTGCTATATTCACAACATTTCGGCCGTTGTACGCCCCGGCCTTCCTCTGGAACTGTCTATATCTCTGAGATGAGGTATTATGATTACTTGCATTATTATTATTCACGTTACGAATATGGCAATGAAGATGAGGATAACAGTCCGAATAATGTAAATAATGCACGTAATCATAACACCTCATCTCAGAGATATAGACAGATCCTGAAGAAAGCGGGGGCGTACAATATTCGAAACGTTGTGAATATGGCAATGAAGATGAGGATAAGTCTGAATAATGTAAATAATACAAGGAACTAAGGAATATTGTTCCTCTGAGCACTCTCCATGGAAATAGCGATAGGGCAGTGAGAGGTTTGCGATGTTTCATCTCTTAGTTGTAGGGTGGTAAATAGTTTTTCAACCACAAGGATGCTTTTAAACTCTATCCAAACTGGAAAATAAGGACTAGGTAACTCATGCCCATATATAACAGTCCTGGGTAACAACGATAAACTCCATCCAACACCAACGCCTCTGATCAGGAGGCTATTGAGGAGCGTGGAAGCACCTCTTAATTGCTGGTGTTCCCAGGTCCACGCTGACCCGGGGTGGTAGCACCTGTTAGGGTCCCAGCTATGGGCAAATATTAACACCCAAACTGAGGTTAAAACACTAGGAAAGTGTAAAAATAGATTTTAATACGAGGAATAAATTTTGAAGAAAAAATTATTACGAGCAATACCAGCCATAAAAATCTTGTCGGCATTAAATATCCCATTGAGGTGTTGATATGCCGTAAAACAAAACAAAGCAAACCATATATGAGAGCAGTACTCTATCTTAGGCCATTTTTCCTGCATCATTTGCGATAGATGGTATGTACAAGCTCCACTCGTGGTCTAGGTTGAATTTAAAGCTCAGTAGCCGCTCAAGACACAGGGCCTTCCCGTGGGAACATTCATTCGTCGTGATTGGTGAACGTCCTGAGTCTGATCGGCGGCTGTTACTAACAATGAGAAAGAGAGAACTGAGTTTTTTTTTTATTAAACACATGATGAGAAAAGAAGACTTGGAGAATACAACACTCACATGACATTCTGGCTTCAAGAGAAGAAGGGAAAAGCGCATTAAAAATTGTATGATATCGGGTTTGTTGCAATGACATTTTGTGAATGAGATCTGGCCCGTGCAGTGGTCTCGGATGGGGCCTCTCAATACCATAAGGAAATGTACAATTACGGCTATAATCTCTGACAACTGATCCAAGTAGTTCTTATGGGAGGGGAGTTTGTGTTTTGCTACTCAGCCTCTGCTCTTTTCCAATATTTCTTTATACGGGTCCATATCCATAGTAACACCATACAGTAGAAAGAAAACCTAATTCTAGAAAAATAAAGTAAAACCCAGACTCTCAACCGGTACGTACCTTACACGTCCTCATGTTGTATACTTCTTATCTCTTCCTCTTATGTTCATAAAATAACCTCATTCGTAACTTGGGCCTATTATTGGGGTGGGGGGCGATCTAGGTTGAGTCAATTGATGCCAGAACGAGTACCAGAAAAACCAAGTAGGGTCGTAAAGAACAAGCTTCAATTCGGGCAACAAGGTTGAGGTAACTTTCAGCCACATCACGTTGAAAAACGAGGTTAAGCAACGTCGAGCATGGTCAGTATCTAAATGGGTGACCGTTTGGGAATACCAGGTGCCGTCAGCTTTGATTTGATACTGGAATTGAAAAATCTGGAGAGCCGAATTCCAATTCGACTGGAATATTTAACCGAGTTCGAATTCCAGTCGAGTACCCTTGGCAAAAGTATGAATCTTCCATCTATGGATTAATTAGTAAGACTTGTATAACTAAAACATTATTATCTAAAAAAAATGTTCTAATCTAAAAAAATCTGTTTTTAAATAACATACAAAGGGTTGATAAGCCGTAGAAAATCAATGAATTAATAAAGGTTAAGGTGATTCGTAATCGTCTATCCCAAGGCAGCGCATATAGACAGAAAATGGCAGGACGGAAATTTCCGAAAGAGATCTCTCTCTGAATTCCAAATTCTAAATTCTAAAACTTAAATACTTCTCTGAATTCCTCAGTTCTAGGACTTGTATATTTTTCTGAATTCTAAATCCCAAAACTTAAATATTTCTCTGATTTCTAATTTCCAAGACTTATAGATTTCCCTGAATTCTAAATTCCAAAACTAAAATATTTCTTTGAATTCTAAATTTCAGGACTTGTATATGTCTCTGAATTCTAAATTCCAAAACTCAAATATTTCCCTGAATTCTAAGTTCAGAAACATATATTTTCGCTGAATTCTAAATTCCATGACTAAAATATTTCTTCGAATTCTAAATTTCATGACTTGTATATTTCTCTGAATTCTAAATTCCGAAACTCAAATATTTCCCTGAATTCCAAGTTCCAGTACTTGTATATTTCGCTGAATTCTAAATTTCATGACTAAAATATTTCTTTGAATTCTAAATTTCATGACTTGTATATTTCTCTGAATTCTAAATTCCAAAACTCAAATATTTCTCTGAATTCTAAGTTCCAGAACTTGTATATTTCGCTGAATTCTAAATTCCATGACTAAAATATTTCTCTGAATTCTAAGTTCCAGAACTTGCATATTTCTCTGAATTCTAAATTCCATGATTAAAATATTTATATTGCTTTTAAGCTGCAATTTGAAGACTCTGTCTTACACTGGATTACCATTACGCGTTTTACAAGTATAGAATTGTACTGAGTACAGATAAATAGTAAAGTATATTTCAAAAGTTTCATCCGAAGATTTGTTCCAATTCAAAGTGTAATTGATAGGCATCGCTACAAATCAAAACATTAACCTAAGAAATCTAGTCATGTTCTTAAATAGCCTCGTCAGATAAAGACTTGCAGGTGTCTTGAATGGAACCAAACTTGTTCAGAAATATCGATAACTTAATTGTATACAGCCGTCTTCTTAGCACAATGATTAAAAATAGCTTCGATCAAATGAATCCAGTAGGTCTTAGTGAGGACCATCCTTTTTGGAACCCCATCACTTGAGGACAGCAGCGGCAACTAAAATTTATTACACGGGTAACTCGAGGAGAAAATAATAACATAATTAAGTTGTTGACGTTCGACAATACTTCAAACAAAAGTTTAAGAAGGAAACCTTCAATAATGGAAAGAAATATCACAGTGGGCTTGAGCAACCTATTTTACTTAAAAGTTTATTTTAAGAGAAATGTCTTATAAATTTCAACCGACAGTAGCACTCAAATAATAAATGACGAATGTTTCCTTATAAGGAAACAGCTAACATTACAATTACCATTAGCAGATAGTAAGGTATAATTCTTTAAAAACGACTTACAACAAATGTCCTCCTCGAAAATGGGCGTAGTGATTTTCCAAGCGTAGCTCACATGTGGCACAAGGCCGAAAGTATGGGGTACCCAGTGAAGATCGAACTCACTATTCAGTTGTAATAGTTCTAGCGAGACAAGCTCGCTAGCCATTACACCACCTCGAAAATGGGCGTATGATGATTTATTTTGTGCATTGAAGGTAGCATCCAGAAAGGATATGATCTTCCTCTGTCGACAACAGCCAACACCTACCCGTCACATTGTCTCCACGGCTAAATTGATACTTATCCGGTTAAACGTCGATCCGTACCCGTATCTCACTGGTGGGCTTGGCACACCCCTTCGCTACATCCTTGTCAACAACACTCGGGTTTTTCTGTGATGTACCGAAAAACTCGAGATCCTAGAAACACCCGCTGAACAGGATTTTCTTTTATCGGGAGACTGGAATTTTGAATGCCACATTGATGGTGGGAAAACTCTCACGATCAAGACGTTTAGTGAGCGGCCCTTTTCACGATTCAGATTGTTAAAATGATCGAGTTTAAACACAGCTTCATTAACTATCCATCGACATGTGAAAAAGAATTAAGAAGAGAAAAAAACATCTCACTGTCACTTTCAACTAAAGTCATATCAAAGAAAAAGCTGTTACACGAAGTCACATCATATTTTTATATATATATATATATATATATATATATATATATATATATATATATATGTGTGTGTGTGTATGTGTGTGTGTATTTGTGTGTGCGTATGTGTGTGTACCCACACGTGTGTGTGTTTCTGCATATATGTAATTATCTATCTATTAAACTAACGTATAAACATAAAATATATTGCATAATTGTCGAACTTAATCCATTTTCATATATATATATATATATATATATATATATATATATATATATATATATGAACATAATGAAATAGGCAGCATATATTTTATATACATAGACTATTTCACTATATCACAGCTCATCAGTGTGGCTAGACGTCCGGTTGCCTCAAGCTAGGATCGAAACTATTTTCTGTTTATACGTTAGTTTAATAGATACAAATTATTTAAGTAAATTCTCTGTTTTTTAAATGAACAGTATTAATTACACTTACCGGCCTTATTCGACCTCGTTAACCAGACACTTCCTTCGTAGCTAAACTTGCACAGCACGTCAGGCTATGTGAAGGTTCCGTGTAGAATACAGGTTCGATTCCTGTCGGAGGACACATATTTCCTATAAGATTTCACCAACATTCAGGTCGGTAAATGTTGTTAATACTGTTTATTATAAACAGAGTATTTATTTAAATATTTGTGTATATGTAAATAACGTATAACAATAAAATCTATAAAATATATATATATATATATATATATGTGTGTGTGTGTGTGTGTGTGTGTGTGTGTGTGTGTGTGTGTGTGTGTATGTGTTGTTTGCTATCATAAACTAGGTTATCCTTTAGTATACCTGAATTTTCAGTTGGTCTTTTTATCTTTGTTTTGTGTTTTCATTCTTAAGTATATTTTGTCTGTGAAAGAAATGTAACAAAGTATTTCTTTTGAACTCACATTGGAACACGATTTAGCTTAAATTGGAATAAGCGTCAGCTTTGCATTTGTAGGAGAATTTTCAAACTAGCAGGCAATAGAGTGGCGCTCTCTGTAATCCTTTTCCATAGACAACAATATTCAAAAGGTGTCATAACCTTCCTTAATGGAAGAATCGGTAATGTCACCAAAGCGAACCAACTAAGAACAAAACGTGCAAATAGACGCCGCAGAGTAATAATTTAGGCTCTTTCCGAAAACCTTTCATTTTGGGACTCTTTCTATATATCTGGCTGTGATAGGCTTCGGGGAAGAGTTAATTATATAGAATTCGCTATAAACTTTTCCGCTTACCTCGAGTAAATAATTTTTTCTTTGTAAGTTGTTTACTTCGAAGAAGAGAGAGAAATTAGATTAAGAAATTATATCGTCAACTTCCGCAAAGTTTTCGTTTGCATTTCATATATATGAGGACATTACGGAACGTATGAAGCCATTTTGAATAATTCCAGAACTGTTAGCGTTTTCTGGATACAAATCGGTAACTAAAACACTGAACTTTAATGCGCAAGTTATTTATTCTCCCGTTGAGTTATTCAGTCCTTAAGGTGATACCCTTAAGTAAGGTTGCGTAATATCTCTATCTATAAAAGGCAGGATGTGTGTGTGTGTGTTGTGTGTGTAACGAATGCACGGCCGCAATTTTCGACGGATTTGAACCAAAATTTACATGCACATGCTCCAAGTTAGCGGGAATGCCAAGACCGACTTTGCATTTCCCAACTCCCATCAAAAGTAGAAATAATCGATTTTTTCATGCTTCTACGGCAGTTTTCATGTAGTTTGCAGCCATTTTGTACTGGCTAGAGTGTGAGCCTATAGCTGGCTGCCACGAATAGGGAGGAAGCTTTTATTGGCCAACGTGAGAGCCAACAGCTGACTGACACGAATGTTAACTAGCATGATAGCATGCAAAAAAATCGATAGCTGCATTCATCACAAGTGGGAAAAATTTAAATCTGCATGGCACTTTACTCCAATTGGCTCATTCGTTTGCTTAAACTCAATGTTGATTCTGATTCCGCAGAACTGGTTTGGGTGTGAAAAAGTATTTGTTATTAACATTCTTTTTTCATTCGGTTTTTCCAGTTACGAGTCCTTTTTTAAAGCTGATAGTTTTGTGTTCATTTTGTTTAGTTCTTTTTTCGTAACAGATTTATTGTTTAGTATAGAGCTTAGAAAAAATTCGCAGTGTGAGATAGGCAAGAAGTAAGGCATGTAGCAACATCAGCACGGCAAAGGGCACTCTTTTAAAGGCAAGGAAGGGCAAAAATATTTTAAGTCAAGTGATAGCGATTGCTGTATGAGTCGTACGATTTTTTAATCAAGTACGGACAACGCCAGGCCATGCTGCTAGATTTTTAATAAATGCCACGTCTAAAACGACATGGCGATTAAGTTCTTCACGTATATTTCAAAGGTTGTTCGAAATAAATGTCGGATTTGTTATGTCTGTTAGCCTCTTCCCTATAATCACACTTTTGGTGTTTTTTTTAAACATATCCATGCGGAGATCGTAAGTGAGATTAAGGAGAGTGCAACGAAATAGTTGACGTTGAAACACAAATAAAATTGTTATGTAAGATGTTTTGAAACGTGAAAGGAACAATGGGATAAGTTTTTGAGCTCCCGAGTGAATTAATATTTTCAGTGAGGAAACTGAGGCACAAAATTTTCCACACACAAGGATAAAGATAAACGTATATACCACATATTTCCTCGCGTTTAGACATGTTTATTTGCTCATCTTTTGAAAGAAACACGATGTCTTACGTGTTATTCAATTCATTATATACATTTCATAAAGATATATATTCTATTCTTATATATACAAGCGACCTTGCTAACCGAACGATCCTCTGTGGCCCAATCGGTTAAGGCACGTCAGGCTTTATGACGGTTCCAATATAGGATACAGGTTTGATTCCTGTCGGAGGACGAATATATTCTATGAAAATTTCTAGGATATTAAGGCTGGTAAATGTTGTTAATGCTGTTTATTATAAACAGAACATTTACTTAAATATTTGTATCTATAAAAAGAATGTATAAACATAAAAATGTCTTAAAATAAAATTCTTTATAAACATTTCTACTAGCTGTGCATGTCATGCCATAGAAGTATTTTAAATTGTACATTGACGTCATGAAAATGCCCAGATGTCATGTGTCTAACAGAATTAACAGCGCCTTGGTTAAACAGGAGTCTTTAATTATTGTGACCAGATTCCTATTGCTAGAATATTCGTTTGTTAGAGTTAAGTGACAATGGTAAATATATATCTACATTCAAAACCAATTTCAATTCTATGTATATCCATCAGGTCACTACATTGCACACTACTCCAAACAAAAGGTTAGAAAGGAAACTTACATCAATATTGGAAAGAACGATAACAGCTACTGGTCTTGAGAAGCCTATATTCGTGGAGAAATGTTTTATAAATATTAAGCGACATTAGTACTGGCTGCTCGGTCAATGAATCTCAAACGTTTCCTTATAAAGAAAGAGTTAATTATTAATAGCTGGCCACTCGTAATTCAAGGATACTAGGGCGAATCGTTAATCCCTATTGCAGACACTCACTCAGGCACATTTGTGTTTGTTCAACACCTACAGAGGTCACTTGTGGTTTATACTGCAACTATGCTGTGCTGACTTTAGTTACAGTTTCCGGGGGAAAGTGTGCTATCTAGCGTGATCAACAATCAGCACAAGGCCAAGCCCTCGGTGACGATGACTTGTGACTTCATGTTAACACAGCTGTCCGTCGCCAAGTGTTCCGTCTACCCAATTTCACTCCCAAGGCTTGGTGCAAAGATGCCGCACGCACCTGTCAAATCAAACGTGCTGCGATTCGAACCCCGGTCTCATGGTCAGAAAACGAACGATCTAACCACTCGGCCACGCTCTCATACTATAGCATTATTTACCTACTATATGCTACGGAAAAAGAAGACCCCCTAGAGACCTGAACTCATGATGTCGCTAATTTAACCCTGACAATAACATGACAATAACCCCTGTAACATGGCCCGATAAGTCAAGGTTTCAGTTGCTTCTGCGTAATAATAGATTTAATTTGTATCGTTGTCAAAATGGCACCATGCCAATTATTCATGGTTTCATAATTGTCTGCAATATATTCACTGGCATTGTTAAGACCACTGATCAGCCTAAACTGTCATGGGTCACTCCAGAAGGATAATGGTATTAACCGTTTCCTTATCGCTATTTCAATATTCATCGTACTAGAAAATCTGGCCAAATAACCAAACATAAGAACTTAAAAAAAAAAACCAAAGAAAACTGCTCTCTGTCGAAAAGCCCTTATACCGAAACATCCGATAGTCACTGACCGAGCAGTCAGTGCTACTGTCAGTTGAAATTAATAAAATCATTCTCTTAACAAGTCGGCTCCCACACGACCCACCGGAGGGTCTTCGTGGTATGTCTGCAGCTGTGGGTCGTTTTCCAATTACTTTTCTTCTGGGAGTCGGATGCTATGATTGATTGTTTATGAGATCCACAGTTTTTTCCAACAGAATTTAAATATTTTTGAATGTAGAAAATGAGAGTTAGTATCATTGTAATAGAGTCCCTGACAACCGAACTAAGAAAGCCTTCCGGATATGAGAAATTGGTTACAAAGTCCGAATATGAGAGGTTATACAGTAGAGTTCCTGACAACCGGACTAAGAAAGCCTTCCGGATATGAGGAATTGGTTACAAAGTCCGGATATGAGAGGTTATATAGTAGAGTCCCTGACAACCGGACTAAGAAAGCCTTCCGGATATGAGGAATTGATTACAAAGTCTGAATATGAAGGGGTTATATTTAGATTAAAATAAAAGAACTGAAATCAGGTTTAACATTTATTTTCAATGTTTTATAGTAAACAAAATAAGCTAATGGTCAGTGAAATATAACGGAATTGATTTTAAAGAAAAAGAAATAAATTATGTAACGTTAATGAAAATTCATTAAATTTAGCTATAATGTAACAAGGATTTTTTAATCACCGTTGCATGATGATTATTTCTCTTCTAATGTCATTCACAACTTTTTCTGAGTCTCGTTTTGCTTTTGTTCTTGAAATTTTTAAACGAAAGAATCTTTTTAACTCTGTGTGCGTTATTGCAATCGTCATAGTTGAATGCTGGCTTTCTTTCCATAAAACTGACAACATTTTCAATAGCTTTTTCAGTCCAAGTTTCATCACAATCATACATCTCAACGCTATCTTGTCATAGATATGTCTCGTTGTTATCCTGTCCTTTTATTCCCATCATCTTTTACACCATTACAAGCCATTAGGGTGAAATAAGCATAAGCAATTATCCAAAGTAAATTTTCTGAAAAACAGAAATATCAAATCAGTTACGTAATCACCCAAATAGTTCAAATATACACATCAAAATCATTTTCCGGATATGAGGCACTCGGTGTATGAGAGATTCCGGATATGAGGGATTCTACTGTATTTGTATACGGGCAATTTTTCCAACGACCAACAGGTGTGTTGTGTGGGACACTGGGTTTTAAAATGGAATCAGGTACTGAATGAAACACCAGTGGCTAATAAATACTACCTATGATATCCTTGCCTCAGACATGAAAGCAATATTAAAACACAAAGTCACTTGTACTAAAATTAATTAAGATATAATGTTGGAAAAACAAGGGAAATTGAGACTTGGGAACAAACGTGATAAAGCAATTTTTCATGAAAATAGGGCCCTCAAGACCACTAACTCATATCGATCTTTTAATATTAACGGGGGTTTCCTTCCTAGCATTTTGTTTGAAGTAGGGTTGAACGTTAACATCATGATTATGACATTTTTCGCTCTTTCAATTACGTGTGATATCCCATTTTAGCTGTTGGTGTTGTTGAAATTGTACTAGTTTCTTTCATTTGTGTTTCTGTAGCGCCGCTCAACAACGTTCGAGGGAGATAGTCCTCGCTAAGACCTACGGGCAATGTGCCGCTTCATTAGACCCAGGTTACCCAGAATTGGGATGAGGACCGTTCTGGCGACGTCCAGTGAAAGTTTCGGCCACCACAATCACCTGGCATGAACTATAGCGATTTACTAAGCATAGCTTAGATGTGATCGAACTCACTATTCAGTCGTAACTGATCTAACGAGGCAGGATCATTAACTATTACCTTGCCCAAAGGCATGAACTATAGGATATGGTTTGAAAGGTCTTTGCGCATGCAAGATCTTGTACATACAAAAACCAGGGAACGATAAACAGTTATCGAAAAAGCATGGCTCAAAACCTCTCCAGATGTCTTCTAATCACCTGTTATTCATTGCGTTGCTAAAGGATGTTCAATATTATACTAGGCACTTATTCCATCATTTTTTCTACGTCAGTATATGTTCTGACGCTCATTTAACATTTCTTTTAATCATTTTACCTCCAAGAAAGGTAATAAAGTCACTAAGACATAAGGGTATGAAAGAATGAAAATAAGAAAAACATTATTAAGAAGCGAGAAAAATGAAAGAAGCAGAATCAAGACGGTAGATAACGATTTACATTGCATTTAAATTTTTGAAAATCAAAGTTGGCTGGAAAGCAAGAATCTGGAATGAAGTTCCATAAGCGACGGACGCGAGAAAAGCAACTGATAGCATAGAACTTACAATTAAATCTAATTCAACTGTAAATGGGTGAGACTACCAAACTAGTACTGCGTTTAAATTCATAAATTCTAGCTACCATAAATCAAATTTAATCAAAACATTTATCATGAAAGTGTTTATAGAAAAGGCACAATATAGCTACATTACGCCGGTATTAAAGTGACTGAAGCTGAGATGCCAGGGGTCATTTCAGATTCTTCTTTGAATCTTATCAAGAAACTCTAAATATATAGCAGAAGCAACAGACCATATGTGACAGTAATATGAATTAATTAATAATTATTACGGTTTTGGATCTTTAACAATATTTTAATGAAATTATTTTACTTTTTGTCTGTGTGTGAATATTCCCAATTTTCACTCCTGAAACAATTTCTCAGTTCCAGTATTTACATTAGTCGGACTATTGTCCTCATCTTTGTCGCCATATTTGTCACAACGTTTCGGTGGTTGGAATTTCGAACTGAACCCTTTATTTCAATCACTGGGGTAGACTGTTCTAGTTCCACGTGCCATGTTTGATGGATGACAGTTATCAGTTATCTCCTGCTAATTTTCCTTCTGAAAGTTCTCCACTGCCTTAACCAGAAATTGAACTCACCTTCTTTTGGGTCTGTCACTGGATCTAACCAACGCCTTTATCCACTGTGCCATGTGTCCTTGAGGACATCTGGGTATGAACTTCTGAGTATTATAAACCTAATGTTTTCAGCATCATTTTTACCAGTGCTCATATTGCAATTTTTGCTGTTATCATTGCATGTCTTTACCAGAGTTCATATTGCAACTTTGTTATCATTGCTTTTCTCTGGCACTCCTTATTACTGGTTCCCATATTGTATTTATTTCTATGCTTGGTCGGCCCAGGAGATTTTTGTGGCCTAGCATATGTGCTGATTCCTTAAGTTTACGAATTTTCCAATGTTGTTCCCTGTCTATGATCTCAACATGATCCCACAGGGGGCGATGATCTCCCTTCTCTCTCCATATGTGGTCAGCACACGCCTGATTTTTCTACTTCCCCTCGCGTTACAGCTTTCTGGTGTTCTTGAAGCCTTACATTGAGGGGGCGGCCTGTCTCTCCTTTATATTCCTTCCCGCAGCTGCACGGGATAGCGTACACACAGTCTTTAGTCATGTTCCACTCTGTGGAACATCAAACATGGCACGTGGAACTAGAACAGTCTACCCCAGTGATCGAAATAAAGGGTTCAGTTCGAAATTCCAACCACCTGAAGAAGGCCGGAGCGTACAACGGCCGAAACGTTGTGACAAATATGGCGACAAAGATGAGGGCAATAGTCCGACTAATAAAAATACTGTACATAATACCTCCTCTCAGAAATATAGACAGATTCTCAGTTCCAATCAAAAAGGCCGTATTTGAGATTAACGAATTTGTTATAACTTAAACAATTTCATGACAAAATAAATTCAGAATTCAGAAATTCGTATACAAGACACCAACTTAGAGGAGAATCAAGTTTATCTGTACCAGTTATATGTCCTGTAGAATGTTGAGTTAACATGTTACATTGCACTCTCGTCTATTACGGGTGCCGTTTTCTGCTCTTAACAATAGCACCAAATGTCATAGTCAGGATTTAGAACAACGTACCCACATAAACTGAAAGATTTCTATCGAAAGTCAACGATATGGGATAACGATAGGAGAGTAGCCAATGCAAGTCGTGATAGAAGCGACAAACCTGTGGACATTACAATAATTTAGTTAGATTAATTCAGATGCTTTGGCAGCCATAAGGCATATCCGAGTAGACAGAAAATTAAACACGCATGAAAATCGAGAAGTATTGTCTCGTGCGTTCATGGAAAACTTGTAAGTGTGCTGACGTTAATATACTATGTGTCCTGGATTTTGTAAAAATTGCTTCGATTATCTGATTGGCTCAAAGCCAATAAGGGCGGGAAGAAGCCACAAACTAGCTTGGTTCTGACAGGGACCCTATCTCTGCCCAACCCCCACGGTTATATAGCATTTCTCATTCTCTATCTCTCCCCCATCTCTCTCTCTCTCTCTCTCTCTCTCTCTCTCTCTCTCTCTCTTTTACTCGCTTGCTCTTTCTGCCTTTCGCACATTTTCCCTTTTCCACTCTTTTTCTTTCTCTCACAGATTCGAGAATGGATTACTAATGCCGTAGCCCGGCATACAATTATTAGCTGAATTTTGATCTGAAATGCTCAATGTATAATGTCTAAGCTGTGTTATTAATATTCATCACTGAATTACGTGCAGTGGCATTAAGGAAAATTATGCTAAAAACACTTATGTATATAGTAAAATAACTCCTTTCTTTTTTTAGGCTTAGGCTACGGATTTGTTGATGCACCGATGTGTATGTTCGATCTATGGGATAAATATTATTCACTGCATTAACAGGAAATATGGTACAGACTTATAACAAAAGGAAAAATAGAAAAGGTATCAGTAGCTATAACGCTCGCATGTGTTTAACGTTATTTTCAGTGAAATGAAAAACTTTGTCAATTGTGAATCTTTTAATTTGTACCCTCTTACTTCTTTAAATAACAACCAGAATTTCATTCTTACGATTGTTATTGAAAACATTTGTTAAAGTTTTTAAACCCAAATATTTAACTATGCGATAGTGAAATTTCCACGGGAATTTTATAGACACAGAATTCGCTAGGAGACTTAATAATTCATTAATTTTGAATGTAAAAAATGAGAGTGTCATTGTAATAAAATAGAGTCTCTGACAACCGGACTAAGAAAGCCTAACTGGATATGAGGAATTGGTTACAAAGTCCGGATATGAGGGGTTATACAGTAAAATCTCTGAAAACCGGACTAAGAAAGCCTTCGGTATATGAGGAATTGGTTAGAAAGTCCGGATATGAGCGGTTATACAATAGTCGCTGACAACCGGACTAAGAAAGCCTTTTCCCAGACAAGTAATATGGCTTTCCTTTTTTTCCGGGTCAACTGCCGATGTACTAACAATAATTGCGAAGAGTCTGTCGTGCTCCAGATAGAAACACTGTAGCTTTGGACACCTCGAAAGCGTTTGGCAGGGTCTGACATTCAGGTTTTCTCGACAAGCTGAAAAGTTAAGGTTTTTCTGGGCACATTTTTGAGCTGATCCAATCGTCCTTGGTCCTACGCTGTTTTGAATCTTCATTAACGACATTCCCGATGACGTCAGCTCTCAGTTTGGCATCTATGATGACGACACTATCATTTATTCCTGCCTCGCTACTAAGGCTGATCAGTCCGACAAGGTTAAAATTGCAGCTGATGTACAAAACGACTTCAAGACAGTCATTAACTGGGGAAAAGGACGGCTTGTCAATTTTAACGTCTTCAAAACTGAAATTCTCTCCATTAATCATCTGAGGGATCTTTCTTTATCATCGATCAGCATGACTGATGCTATCCTCCAGGAAGGTAACTTATTACATCTTATTGGATTAACAGCTGACATGTAATGCAAAGACAATATCGAATCCATTGTTAGGTCAGCTGCTAAGAATATCGGTTAATTACTCCCGAGTTTATATTGCATATCTATAAGTCTACTATTCGACTATATTTATAATATTGCTGCCACATATGGTCCGGTGCCCCTTCTTTGATCTTCTTGATAAGAACCAAAGAAGAATCAGCAATATTATTGGTCCTGATATGGCAACTAGGCTTCAGTCACTTGCCCATCGCCGTAAGATTGCCTCTCTGCGCCTTTTTCTTTTATAAATACTTTTAAGATAACTGTTCGGATGATCTCTTTGCTATGGTACCTTGACTTTATAAATCTGTCCGCAGTACTAGACTGACGGCGAGATCACATCAGTTTACAGTTACGCTAGCTAGATATAGCCGTAACTTCTACGCTAAAAGTTTCTTTTCTCGCACCTCTCGCTTGTGGAACACCCTTCCGGCTCCATGCTTTCCAGCCAACTTTAATCTGCAAGAATTTAAATACAATTCCAATCGCTTTCTATTGTCCTCCCGATTACTCTTTTCTTTTTCTATACATTATTATTTCTGTTCCTAATTCCTATACACCCCGTAACCCATTGAGTGTTAGTGGCTGTACTGCCTTGTTTGGGGTGACACTGATTAAAAAAAAATATATTGTCATCGGGTTTATTTTTTTATTTTGGTTTTATTTAAAAATCGACAACTATTTGGGGGAAAATGGTCCGACGCTGATAGAACAGTTATGGGACAGAAGTCGTGTTCAAATTAAAGTTACACTTTCCCGCTTTTTTAAATACTTCTGCGCGTCTGTATACATATCCCCCCACACCTATGAAGAACACGCACGTGCCTAGGCGCATGTGCAAAGCTAATATTTTAAAAGAAATCAGAGCCAACGACGCTCCGCTGTTCTGACGATTGTTCGACCAGTTCACAACCGACAGGCGTGTTTCAAATCAAATCACTTTTTAACAGATCATGTTTCGCCTTTGGTCATCCAGACCAGACAATAGCCAGAGGTTAGAAGACACTCTCTCGTTCTACATACAGCTGGTTGTATCAGGCGATGAGAAGTTTTACTCAATCCATTCAAAGCTTCAGGCCTTCCCAACATGTACAATTTCTCAAATTCTAAATTTTGGATTTAAGCATTAACTTTTATTTTAACACTCTTACTCTTTCTCTTCCTTTCTTTCTCCGTTTTTAAACAATATATATATATATATATATATATATATATATATATATATATATGTATGTATCTCTCTTTTAAATTTCTTCATTCCCGTTTTGTCTTTGTTTCTGTCTCTATTATTTTCGGCTTCTTCTTTCTCTCTCTCTCTCCCCTCTCTCTCTCCCCACCTTTCTCTCTCCCCACCTCACTCTCTCCCCCCTCTCTCTCTCTCTCTCTCACTCACTTTATCTCTGAATGCGTTTTTCGTTTTTGCTATTTTCTTCTCGTTGTCTGCAGACATTTTTCTTCCCTTCTTTCTATTTCTCTCTCACTCTCTCTCGCTCATTCTTTATCTATCTCAGTCTCTTCATATCTATCTATCTATCTCAGTCTGTTCATATCTATCTATCTATCTATCTATCTATCTATCTATCTATCTATCTCTGCTTCTTCATATCTATCTATCTATCTATCTATCTATCTATCTATCTATCTATTTCAGTCTCTTCATATCTATCTAGCTATCTATCTCAGTCTCAGTCTCTTCATATCTATCTATCTATCTATCTATCTATCTATCTATCTCATTCTCTTCATATCTATCTATCTAGCTATCTCAGTCTCAATCTCTTCATTATCTATCTATCTATGTATCTATCTATCAATCTCATCTTTTCATATCTATCTATCTATCTATCTATCTATCTATCTATCTATCTATCTCAGTCTCTTCATATCTATCTATCTATTTCAGTTTCTTCATATCTATCTAGCTATCTATCTCAGTCTCTTCTATCTATCTATCTATCTCAGTCTCTTCATATCTATATAGCTATCTAGCTATCTATCTCAGTCTCAGTCTCTTCATATCTATCTATCTATCTATCTATCTATCTATCTATCTATCTATCTATCTATCTCCGGTAAATGAAAATAAACCTGAATGCAAAATGCTTTCTTTCTTTGATACCCAGATGTAAAGTTAAAAAGATCGTTTCCGTTTTGTAGATGAATGCAATATGGTTTCGTGTAGCTATTCTTGTCTTTCGTTCTTTCCTTTTTTATTGACGATGTTGGTGTGGGGGTTGATAACTGACTTTGCGAAAGAATTTCGATCATTTAAACATCTGCCCAAAGCCACGAAACTGTAATCCGTCCGCTACGAACACGTTCATTGTATGGTGAAGACGGAAAAATAGGTGTCGAGTGAATAAGTCCACAATTTTTGAGTAAATCTGCTCTATCCACTCAGCTAACACGAGTTTAATACAAGAGTATACTTGTAAAATTCTCAGTGAGAATTACACTCATTTCACTATTCGTGATTTTGTTTTTTACTAAAAAGTACCCCATGACAAACCCAACAGGTATTGTCCCGTTTAGAGAGGCCGAAGCCTGAGAAGTTTGGGATTTAAGCGACCTCATCACAAAGCTGGTATTAGTAAGATATTGTCAATGAACATTCGTTTGTTCATTAATTATGGCTAAAATAACGCTTATTCATAGGAACTTGGGTTTTTTGGTAGACGTTCGTTAAGATTTGGGAATACCGCCTGAAAATGTCTAAGAAGCACTGAACTACACTGTCAAATAAGTGACGTGTACATTTTAAACTTTAATTTAATAAACTTTGGTTTCAGCGTGGACCTGGGAACACCAGCAATTAAGAGGTAGTTCTACGCTCCTCAAACCCTCCTGATCAGAGGCCTTGCTCTTGGATGCAGTACATCGTCTTACCCAGGTCGCCTATGTAGTTTATCGTCATACCCAGGACACCGATGTAGTTTAACTATTTGCCCATTTTTGGGACCCTAAGATGTACTACCCCTGGTCAGTGTGGACCTGGGAACACCAGCAATTAAGAGGTAGTTCTACGCTATTCAAAGCCTCCTGATCAGAGGCCTTGATGTTAGATATAGTTTATCCTCATACCCAGGACGCAATTCAATAAATGAAATATTAGATATTTTGCCACTGACTGGTGTTATTCTTTGTTGATATTTATTAAAGAATATTTTTATTAAAACAGTTTTACCAGAAATATCTTTTATGTGCCGTATCTCTATAGGACGTAGGCGATCATGGCCCTCCACATCCTTCTGTCCTTTGTAGCTTTCAATATTTTTGTCTTTTTGTTATTTTTTCTCAAACTCTGTTCCGCCGTCCTATATCCGCCCTGTGAGTATCAGATTTTCCAAGCTCTCCTTTCACATTACCTGTGTCAGAAATTTCCGCTGCCTCTTTCTGATGTTAAGTATAAGTTTCCTTTTTGTTTCAATTCTCTCCAAAACCCGTCGTAGCTCTCATGTTATCCTCAGCATCCTTCTGTAGAACCACATTTCTATTGCTTCGAGTCTCTTCTTGAGGAGATTGTCCAGCACTTGTTACTATAAAGGAGGACAAATATCACGTAGCAGTTGAGTACTCCTTTCTTTGTTTCTAAGAAACTTTAATTGAAAGATATCAAAGGCTATTTCAGCTTGTCTTCGGATTTCGGTGTCTCATTTTCCATCGTCTGTTTAACATTTCCCAGAAAGTTACATTTCTGTATGATTTGCTGTTGGTAATCGCTTCCTAATGTGGTCAGCATAGGAAGAAGGAGACATCAGGCTCTGTCCCATTGAATGTTTATTGATCAAAATATTGATTTGGAAAGAATAATTATTATTCGCAACAACAATAATAATAATGGTAGTAATAATAATATTGGCACCCAGTGAATATAAAACCCGACATGACAGAGTGGGCCAATATCTGCACTGGAAAATTTGCAAATTCTACGGGAAGGAAACTGAAAGAAATTGGTATGAACACCACCCAGACCCGGTTACGGAGATAGGATCTGTTACAATTCTATGGGACTACACAATACACACTGACAGAACAATCAAAGCCAACCGCCCAGACATTGTTATTAAAGACCACAAACAAAAAAAGTGCCTCCTTATTGATATGGCAGTCCGTGTAGACTGCAATGTATCTTTTAAAACATTCAAAAAGCTGTTAATACAAAGACTTTGAAACAGAAATCTCAAACATGTGGCATATAGGAACATCAACAATCCCTGTTGTAGTTGGAGCCCTAGGATTGGTTGGAAAAGATTCCAGTAGACTAATTGAAGGGATTCCTGGAAGTCCATGCCTAAAGGAGATACAAAAAATTGTTCTGACAAGTACAGCCCACACTTTACGAAGCCTTTTATCTATGTAATTTTTTTTTTTTTTTGTCAATGGAAAGTGTCATGATGCCATTTCTAACTTTTAGGTCGCTGGGCGGGACCCGGAAAAGAAATGTGTAAACGACAGAAATCAAAGAAAATAGAAATAAAAATAATAATAATAATAATTTTTGGTTTTTCCAAATAAAGTGTTTTCTGATGATACTGGATTGGCGAAAAATGTCACGCTAAATTTTTCTAAATATTTCTATACTAGCTATTTCAAGCGCAGGGTTCTTGATTAGGCCTTCATCACAATAGGTAGGGAGGAGTATTTCATTTATTTCATTGGTAACTTTCGCTGGATTTTGAAGTTAATTTTGATTATTCCCAAATTTATTTCCAAAATATAAAAATTGTTAACGTACGAAAAAATTCGTTGCAAAAAGTCACGTAAAAATTCGCCAAAAACAATCGCAGTAATTGGCAATCCGGAATATCAGGATTACAGGTCCGGATCCGACTCGGAATGGTTTTAATTTGGTCGCGGAATCAACCTGATTCCAAAATGGCATATGTTGGGTTACGGACTCTAGAAGTAAAGTTGAAAAAGTGTGACGTTCGCATTTATTACACACACACACACACACACACATATATATATATATATATATATATATATATATATATATATATATATATATAGGGGTGTAAGCAATTCTCAGGTCTACTCACTTGCCAAGTCATTTGACATCATGGGTTTGTGGGGATCACTTACATGTGCCACACCACCATTTCCTTCAATATCATTGGTTCGTAAATATATGATACTTATCATATGACAATTTTGCCATCGCAGGTAATTTGAAATTTTCTCTAAAATCACGGATTGATCCATTTCCTGACCAATCGTGTATTTTAGTATTTTTCTATATTTTTAGCGCCAAGCTCGCTGGAGCCTATCCATCGTTATAAAAAGACTCTCGCTGTTTGCCAACAGCCAGTAGCAGTTCAATTCTTGGAAAATAAGGCACGGCGCTATATTGACATTTTGATTCTTAATTATCACTCAATCGAGTAATCATACTAATTCCTGTTGATATCACTCATGAACATTACATTTTTCTACACTGATAAAACACTGTGGAACTATTCTTTATTTAGCTAAGACTTCAATTGAACCTTGTAGTTAAATTACATTCAATTTTGTACTCAACATTTATTAGCTAAACTTACCCTTTTTATTACGGAAAAAGGGGAACAACTTTCTTTATACTATTGTTGATATTTGTATATCATTGTTAATACAATATTTTATTAATGTTCACTGAGCTTGATTATTTTTCTCTCGTGTTTGTTGTGCATTATTCATGTGGGGTGTTGTTTTACAAGAACACAGCCTTCCTTCTTTATTATACTCACGGTGACCCTAGCCAACAATACTTAAAGCACCACTACAGGTCTTTTGGGTTTTTTTTTTCTGGAAGGCCGTCTCGTTCAGGGCGAGAACTTTTAATTTGGTTCAATGCATATCCGCTCAATGTTTTCCAATCAGCTTGGATTTACAGCGTTTTCATTATTGACATCAGCAAAAAGGATTCCCTTTCGGATAAATTTCCATACGTAGGAATAAAAAAGTCACATTTTATAAGATCGATTGAATTGGGTGGGAGGTTCCAACGCCATATTGTTTTTCGAAAAGCGAAAAACTATTGGACGTTAAAGTCATGTCTGGTGCCGGCATTGTGATTGCCAAGGATACAATCACTGTTACTTCATATTTTGCATTTATTTTTTTTCTCTGAAGACTCACATGCTTTTTTCCCAAGACCCATCCACCACAAAAAAAAAAAAAAAATTGGTGATTCAAGTTTGTTTTTTTTTTATATGAACAAATTACTTGTGCCCAAACACATTTAAATCCAAGAAACAAATCAACGTGGTCATGTCCCTATATCACATCGCCTTTTTTTTTTTTTGTAATAATTGTTCAAGGCCCAAGAGCTTCTTAATGTAGTGGGCTACTGATTAAGGTTGTTGAGGAGGAGGTAAGAAGTGCAGTTTGTGAGATATGAAAGAAAGATAACGGTTAATCAGAGATGTGAAGAGGTTAAGACTGTATTGTTCGGAGAAGCATCCGCGCGGGAGTCTGCTCCAGAAAGCAACAGTTTTGCGGACGAGTATAGAAAGGATTAGTCCCAGTGTACGTAGCATGGCGAATCTTAGTTTTGAAGGTCTGCACTGATGGAACTAAGGAATGTAGTTCTTCAGAACATTAAAAATAGTAATAAAGTATCGAGAGGCTTACATCATTTCATCTGTGGGATAAGCAGGCACCGGGATACGCACCCATCGACCGGAGGCAATGGGGACACACCTGATTTGGAGTCTTGGGCATTGCTTTGTGGTCTTCAACATTCGCTTTTTTTTTTTATATACATTTATATACCGAGTCTAACAAAAAATTGTCGAAATCGTGTAACAACAAAACTGTCCCATGTTATTAAGTTTCTTTTCTTTCGGATATTCAGATAAGACGTTTAATCATCTTGGTACCATTTTTCGTAAGAATCACTGAAAAACCCTTTGAGTTATTCAGCAAGAAAGAAAACAGGTTAAAATCGTTTTTCCCCAGTCCCACTGTCTTCTCAACTGATCAATGTTAAAGGAAAAAATCATTCAGGCCTTCAGTAATGATATCAACATTCATACCCTGGCTCCCATTTTCAAAGTCCATTTAAGATATTTATACGTTTTTCTTTTTTATAGATACACATATTTAAGTAAATTCTCTGTTTATAATAAACAGTATTAACGACATT